CTGAAATGAGAACAAGGAAAGAGGAAATGTGCCACCTCTCTGAGAATGGCATGGAGATCAAGGATAATCCGGGTTAGGTCTGAAAGTGTGTGATTTTATTTTTTTTTTCCTCATCATTGGGCAATGATGATGTTAACTATGAGGACAGGGGTTAAGAAAAGTGAATGTATGGAAATTGAGTACATCATAGCTGTTCAATAGGTTATTGTGCTCCAGTTGGGATAATGGGTAATTTCCATCCCCAGTTCTCAAAGAGCTGGTGCCTGAAATTGCAGGAATGATAGCAAAGTTCTTCAACACATCCTATGAGGCTGTGTATGGTGTAATATGACAGGGAGTTAGCAGAGGTAACATCTATATTTAGAAGGGCAAAAAAACTTAATTCTGACAGTTGTAGACCAGTTAGTCTTTATTGTGAGGCTTCAGAGTAAATTTGGAAGGAAAATGTTTTTAAAGCATGGATTCAACAGCAATGGATTGAAGTACAACTTTTGCCCAAGTAAGATCATGCAAGAATTCTTCTTTGATATGATAACTGGTTATTTAGACAAGGAAACTTGTTAAATACAAGCTGACACATAAGCTTATATGTGGTTCCCTATGGAAAATTATTCATTAAAGTGGAGAATGTGTATATTATTATTTTACAAGCAGGCACAAGCTTGATGTGGGAAATGCTGCTTGCTGTTAACTGGGTTCACCTAGCATCTCTTGTTTGGAAGGATGGGCACACTGAGCTCATGTCTGTCTGCAGAATGTCACGTACCCATGAAGGAGATGAGGGATTAGTCAAAGGCAGTAAGGAACTGGTTAGCAGGAAGGCAACAGCAAACAGCTTTGAAAGGAGAAAAGCTAAGGTCCAAGGATTTCACTAGTGGAATTTCTCTCCAATTTCTCACCAATTGGTGCTGAACCAGATTTCTTTAATGCTGTCATTGAGAACCTTTAGCGTGAAGAGCAAAAGCGTAGCAATGAAATTGCTTGATGATGCAGAGCTGGGAGGTGTTTTTAATACAAAGTGGAGATATTATTAATACAAAGTTCAAGCTGTCTTGCAGAAAGATTGGAATGGCCTCAAGTACTGGAAAAATAAAAGCAGTGGGGTGGAATTCAATGGTACCAAGTGTAAGATATCATAATTTCAGGATGAATAAGAATTTCCACTGTTAGCTTGGGTAATACCAGTGGGCAGGAGACAGACAGATGCCAGAGGGTGACTGTGAATAAAAGGGATGCAAGAATGTATCAGGTGAGATGTTTCCACTGGAGTTAGGACATACTGCTAGGAGAGTAGTGATGAGAGATGGGTTTGAATTGACCAGGAGAATGGAGAGCCTGTTTACTGGGAGGGAACAGAAAAGGTTATTTGTTTAGCACATGTAAGGGAGGAAAAATATATACTCTCTATAAATACATGTAAGTGGAAATATGTATGTTTTCTATAAATGCATGAGAAAAAAAATCAGTAAAAATATAAAGCTGTGAAGCTTTATTACTCAAGTTCATTGAATGGGGTTTTTTTTTCCTTCTGTTGGATGTTGAAAAGCATTATAAAAGCCATCTCTCACCCACAGGGAACCTGACAG